ACTGAGTTTGGCAATTTCAGTAAATTTCAGTGTCTCTGTCTTAATACTTCACTGCCTTCTACCAAAGCAGTTTTGGTCAGAGTGAGTGATGAATGGGTGTAGACTGAAGAGAGATTTACGTCGACTCTCCAATTAGTTTAAACCATTGTCAACAACTAGAGACGCAATAAGGAGAGGATCAGATTCATCAATACTGTGGGAACCTGCCCACATAGAAATTCTTTCCCTGGGATGGGAAAAAATGCGTCTCTTGCAGGAAACCATGCAGTTAAACCAGTTTAAGTATACTGTAACTCAGCTAAAATGCTTTTTTCCTCCTACTAAATGATTTGGAAACAAGTGCTGATATTTTTTTTTTTCTTCTGACCTACTTCTTATTAAATTGTATTAAACAAGATTAAGTATGCATTTGCATCAGCAACAACATTTCACAGTCAAATGCTGGATGACAGAAAGAGCTAGCTTACGTTCTTTCAAATTCCATGCCATGAATCAGTGAATTAATTTACCAGTGGATGTGGAGAACAGTGTCATGAAGCCTGTTTTATAACCAGCCATCAGTGGCGTGCAGTGAAATTCTTGTAATGAGCAAATCCATCAGACAAACAAACTGCTCTGAAATTTGAGCATTGTAGAAAGTAGAATGAGAAGTCCCGATGCCAATTCCTGAAGGACAGTACCTGCCCGTATTGATTTATATGATTTGGGGTTTTGGGGGACACTTCATGATCTATTATAAAAAATTCCTTTTTTCATGTGAATTCTTGTGATACTCAGTAAAATAACTTGCACAAATAAGAAGTACTTGCTTGAATAAGAGCTACAGAATTGGATCCTATGGGAATGACTTCAGCAGGGGTTCCTAAAGAATCCATCATTCTTAGAGAAAATCTTAGACTTAGTTGATTAGAAATAATGCAAAACTATGTGCTATTTGTAAATATTTACTATCACTTAGTATATATCTACCTACAGTAAGCATCATTCTCAGACTTATTTCAATGGAGCCTGAAGCCAGAGAAAAGCTTACACTTTTCAGCTGACCGCCACAGAGACCCTGAAGTGAATGGGTAGCAGAAGTCAGTTATTTAGCAAAGGCAGTCACCAGTGCCGCTGTGTGACAGAGAATGGGAAATCAGAACACACCAGAATCAAATTTATTTTTGGAGCTGTCCAGCTGCTGAGTGTGAACTAAAATACCAGATATCCAACTGCAACTATTGTAGGGTAATGCATTAAAACCAGGGGAAAAAACCCTCTCCACCTCAATATTTTTATATTTTAAAAAAAATTGTAATAGTATTTATCGGATAGAGCACTATGAAAAAAACCCTAACTGTGAGCACTTGGTCAATCTGGCAACGCTAAAGTAAGGCTCACTGGGGAAGGCAACTGTGCTTAAAATAGAAATTATCTCTGAAAAAAAAGAACTATTTTAAAAATGGATTTAGATTAACTTCAGTCATGTGTGTTTATTAAACTCGAAGACCACAGCCTGGAAGTGTGAAAAACACCTTTTGCCTGTCAAAAATCAAGACAATCTGACATCAGAAGTGTTGGGGTGTGAAGCAACCTACAGGGCTTGGCCCACAGTAAAGAGCTTCAGAAAAAGTAATGAATGCAAAGGGGCTCTGAGGAGCAGACGGGACTCCAAGATGTTGTGATGGCTTAATTACCATACCCTCACTGACTGAAATCAGTAAAAATGCTGCAAGATTTCTGCATGTGTTTTGCAGTTTAATTGTAGTCTTTAAGCTCTGAAAGACCAAGGCACAATAGGTCCAAATATCAGACCCAGGGAATCACCAAAACTGACAATCTGAGTACATTAAGCTGTGTACTTACCATTAGTACCATTCATGCTTCTGTGCCTTCATTGATGAACATATTCCTGGCTCCCAAAAGTCAGCTACCACTGTTACAGACAGAGCTGCAAGCGGCATTCGGTATTTCATAACTCTGAGCTCCATACCCATTATTGCTCCTTATGGCAATTTTAAAGATGTGCTTTATTTAAACAAGCTTTTCTTCATCAAAATAGCTGTAACAGATGCTTTATGTTCTATTTGTTTTGCTATGTGGTAGCACTGCAGAGAGAGATGAAATTAACTCCCCAAGTAGCGTATTTCTAGGGTGAAACTAAACAAGAAGAAATCGAAGCATATGTCCAAGGGAAAGTCAAGCATGCATTCAAGGGACAGATAGATTTGCAGTGCTGCCCTTGATGATTCTTTACATGGTGTCATTGTTTGCAATGAAAAGTGTGCAACGCATTCCCAAGACCTGTGTGCATTATCACATTGGTGATAACGGAGTTCGATTAATACTAAAGCTATGGATAACTTATCTGCGTTCTCCTGAACCACAATTCCCTATATTCCTCTAATGTTCATACATTTTTATGTATCAGTAATCTTCTTCTACTGTACAGATTAACATATGTCAAAATTCAAAGTGTTATTGGAGAAGGGTATTGGGTCGCATGGCTAGAATGAAATTACTGTTCATTAAAGAACAGTAATAATTTATTTGACAAAATTAAAAAGATTTTTAAAAAATTCTTGTTAGCAATTCCTTAAAGTTGGGTCATGGAAACTTCATTACACTACGTACACTTTGATAAGCAAGGCTGTCCCAGCAATGTTTCTTCAAAAAAAATAATAAAAAGATTATATATTTTAAAGCTTTTTGTATACTGAGCGAATAAGCCCAAACATTGTACAAATTCAGTAGTGAAGTATCTGTCATTATTTTTGCCTTGCTTGTCATCATTAACAGAACGATAGATCCACCCACGAGTCACTAGCACCATGACAAACCATGTTATGCCAGGATGACAACTTATCTCATCTAAATGAAAAAAGAAGTCAAGAAAATGTCACTGTTCCCAGATTGAAGTCTTCTGACAAAACAAAGCTAATGACACCACAACAGTCTTTCTCAACAGATGCCTTTTACTATAACTTTGATTTGAGAAACATGCTTTGAACACAGGATATTCTCCAAGGCATTAATCGTGAATAGGAAGCCCGGGACTGATTCTATTCTCTGCTTTCCAAGTCTGGATATATGGAGTTATTTTGAGCGTATCTCCATTTGAGAACTGAACCATTTTGAACTGAACTAGTGGGGCAGAACGTATTTAAGTGTGAACTTGAGAATTTGTGCACTATAATGATGTAGCATTTCTCCTGTGTATACAGCACATTTTTGTGTGGAGTACCTTGAAAAAAAAAAGAAATCAATGCTGTTTGAACTGCTTTTAGCAGTGCTAAACACTAGTTAGGTTGAATTATTTCAGCCTGGAGTAAGTTCTTACAGAAGGCTTAGTTTCTCAAGCTGCTGAGATAATGAAGTTAAAGGTGCTTGGTATCTGACACAGTTAAACTCAGAGATGTCAGAAGATAGGCTGACATCAGAAGATTGATGATGTCAGAAGATAGGAGACAGAAGATAGGCTGAATTATACCAGAAAGTATTTACTACATATATTGGGCTATTATGCTATACAAAGAGAATTTATGTTAAAAAAAATAAAAGCTAATAGAGATTAAGCCAGCTAGAAAAGCTAGGTTGAATGTTTACGTTGTTTACATTGATACCTCAGGCAGATAAAGCATGAGCTTACAGTTAGGAAAGTGGTTAGTTTGAGATGGTCGACACTTCCATTCCTGCACCTTTAGGCTGAGCTGTCGCTCTGCGTATAGCTGAGCCTGAGCTCCCTGCAAGGAGGATTGTGTCACTGGCATGGTGGGGTCCTCTCAGTCTGCAGTGTGGTTATTCTCAGAGCTCTCAGCTCTCCATTTTGCAGAAGAGGAGCGAAAGCACAGAGAGATTAATGCAGCTTGTGCGAGGTTGTTCTGGAAGTGTGTGGTAGAGACAGGATGTGCCAGGTTTCATGCTACCTTTCTGACCTTCTGACTGTCCTTTCTGCCAGTCCTGACCAGGAATGTTCATCATTTATTGTCAAAGAAATAACTAGCGGTAGCTATGCCTGCTCAGCTAACCTTACCAGCTGCTGTTGTTGCTTTTTGAAATCAACATAAAGCGTTTTCAGATCCTTGCAGTGTGCTTCTGTTGTTTCTTAGCTGTGCTGTGAGAATCTGACAATCCATACCTCTTCTCTGCAGTGCTGTCCTGCCAGTGCAAGCATATATGTGTCTCCTTCCGAGGCACATATAGACATGTGCTTCTGTTCTCTTTGCCTATTTTTTTCCATTCCTTCACATAATTTATTCATGCAAGTTTGTCATCAAGTATTGTATTTCTGCCCATTCATTATTTAGCAGACAATAAAGAAATGGTATAACACAGAACAGCACAGCACAAGGAAAAAGTACACCAGGGAGTTGGTGAACTGAGTGGTCGTATGTAGAAGACTCAAGGAGGTATTCCAGTTTAGTCCCTGCCCTGTCAGATGTTATTGCTTACGGAGGGACTGATTCTTCAAGCACTTGTGTGCCAAAATCCCCCAGATACAGTCAGTTTCTGTAATGAGGACTTGCAGTTTCAGATCCTTGGAGAACAAAGTTTTCTTTAGCTAACTGAAGAGGTGCCCCAGGCCTCTCTTCAATCTCTGCAGATGCAGTTGTAGGTGAGGGTTCTGTCGAGACACTAAATGACACTTGACTGCAGGCCTGTAATTAGCACTATTGATGTGAATGAACCTGTTCACAGGTTCAAAATTAAGCACGTGTACCATCATTAACAGGATCAGGACCTGAAGTGATATGCTCTGTGTGTGTCTGTGTGTGTGTTGTGTGCACTGTCTCTCAATGCCAAGGTAAGCATTTCTGCTTCCACCGCTGTTTTCTTTCAGCTGAGTAACAAGGCTGAAAAATCCTAAATGTGTATGGGAATGCTAAAAGCTACAGAAAGTTGTTAGTAATTTAGAGAATTAATTTACCTCCAATTGAATTGTACCTTTAATACATTGTATGTTGTTTCCCACAATTTTAAAATGTCTATTTTTTGTTCTTCTCCTGTGTCTTTTTGGGAAGGTGGACAAGATGGCCAGTCTCTACAACATACATGTCCGCACAGGTTGCTTCTGTAATACAGGAGCCTGTCAGATGCATTTGGGTATAAGCAATGAGGACATCCAAAGGAACCTGCAGGTTAGTTTCTGAATGAGATTACATGATATATTGCCCATGGAAAATACCTAGATTCAGTGACCCAGGGTACATCTTCTGGCTATCAGTTCTGAATTTCCTAAGGATGTGTCGTGGTTTAACCTGGCAGGCAGCCAAATACCATGCAGGCGCTTACTCACTCCCCCCCAACCCTGCAGCAGGACGGGGAGAGAATCGGAAGGGTAAGAGTGAGAAAAACTCGTGGGTTGAGATAAAGACAGTTTAATAGAACAGAAAAGGGAGAATAATAATGATAATGATAGAATATACAACATGAGTGATGCACAGTGCAATTGCTTCCTACCCACGCTGACCGATAACCAGGTAGCGATCGGTACTTCCTGGATCACACCTACCATTCATATACTGAGCATGACGTCACATGGTATGGAATACCCCATTGGCCAGCTGGGCTGGCTGTCCTGGCTGTGTTCCCTCCTCCCAGTCCAGCTTGGTAGCAGAGGGTAGTTGTCCTTGACAAGATACTTAGCAACAACTGAAAACATCAGTGTGTTATCAACATTCTCCTCATACTAACTCCAAAACACAGCACTAGGAAGAATTTTAACCCTATCCCAGCTGAAACCAGGACAGGATGGGAGGTTTGAAGGGGAGAAGAAAATCAGGCTCTGTATCAAAAAAAAACCTTAATTAGTTAAAAGCTAAAGTAGGTGTACCATCTCCTGTGGTTTTGAGTCTGTGCGACTTTAAGAATGAAGGTAAATTTGATTTGCTTTCTCTGACCTTTCAACTCAGTTGCCATGTTAAAGAACTAAATGAACTGAAATTCAGTTCATGAAATGGAATGTTGAAACAAAATCATTTGATGGACCCAAAGCAGTATGTGTTGCTTGTTTTTATTTCATTGGAAAAGATGAAATTGTGGCTTCTTGTTTTGATTTGGAATTACATGAAATCCAGACTTCCTGCAGAACAGAAGTTCCTGGACAATTCATCTCATGTTGTTCCTTGAGTATCCTTAACTGTACTTAATAATGTTCAAGTATTATAGACCTATTGTTGTTGGATGTTACAGTTTAAAAGGCATACACAAATTGGACAAGAAACAATAAATGAGAATACACAGTGAATCTCAGAGAGTGAAGTAAATTTAGATGACATCTACCTAGATTACGGGTGTGGTAGGCTGTTAGAACATGAATGTAAAGACTGTTTTCTAGATGACTAATATTTTCCATAAATTGTTATTAAAAGATGTGTAACAGGATGTATTACAATGAAGTGGGGGAGGCTTCATGTCTGCATATTTGTCAGAGTTTGAAATTACAGTAAATTAATGCAGAACAATCCAAAATTGTATTAATGGTATTCTTCAAAACATAAAAAATTACAATGGCTGTATTGAAATTGTAGCTCCCTTATAATTTCACAGAGATGTTTAGATAACTTTTGCAAACACATTATATGCAAGATTGATAGCACAAGTTCTTAACGGGGGAGAGCTCTTTAATACCTTCCTTGGCAAAATGGTGCTTTGATTTACCATGGAAAGCTCCATGTCCATAGTCTCCTCATGCATAATCTGTCTAAGAGCAGGTGAGTGATGCCTGAATTTTTGAGGGGGAGCAGGTTCCCCAAGATACTCTGAGAAAGGGAAAAAGGTCTACCCTTCTGCTGAATGCCCAATGAACAGTTGTAACACTCTTGGATCTCTTTATATAAGGAGGATTTTGCTAAGGCGTGGGTGGTGTCTTATAGGTCTGTATCATGTTAATAAAGCTGAACATTTAAATGGGGATAGGCCAAAACCAAACTTATAAAGAGACACTTAATCCACCAAAAGTGGTATGATGAGGTGATGCAGTCAAGCAGTCGTTATTTTGGGACATTCTCATCAGTCCTTTGAGAAGGATCTGGATGAGTTATTGACAACATTACTGTATAGGGGAAGGCATCTTTTATCACATTATTTGCACATATTCTTTGGTTTCGCCTTTTCCCAGGGTGCTGACTGTATTCTTCCTTCCCTGATGAAGATTTCCATGTATAAAATGCCTTTGAGGGAGGAGTTTCTGTCCTCAAGGGTCCCTGGAGAATTGTGGTTAGTTTTCTTAGGATGTTAGGTAGGAACTCGTTTACTTATTTGCACAGCAGGAACCTTTCTCCTCAGTCAATCAATCAATACTTGGCAGAAGGGTTACATGTATATTAACAGATGCAACCTAATTTTGCATATGTTGCTTCTGCTCTATTGTCAAGGATAAAAACTACATCACACTGCATTAAAATATTTACTTCTATATTGCATGCTTTGACATAAAGGTATTTTTTTTTATTTCTGCTTGCATAAATGGCATCTGTGTTCATTGAACTGTGACATTTCTTGCTTAAAAAAGCCCTCATGTAAATAATCTATTCACACTTCCATTTGTATGTAACAGAAATGCCTAAATAAATAAAATTCCGAGGAAAAAAACCCCACAGCTGCTGCACTTACAGGAATAAGGATACTGACTTAGGGCTAAATCTTATGCCCATTGGTGAGATAATGTTAGATGGATGAACAAAGGGGGTCTCTAGCTTATCTCACTGGAGGTGAGTGGCAGCATTCACTGACCCACTTATTGAAGGAGAAACTTCTGCTCTAGGGGAGAGTTTTCCAGAGAGTGCTGTATGAAAGACATATTAAATGGAGGGGTATCTATGTGGAGGTCACTATTAGGGTATTTGAAGCATTTTTCAACAAAGATTTTTCATGAGTGGCAACCTGTGATCTTCAAGGGAGGAAATGTTAGGGGGAAGGCTAGTTCCCTCCATCCTGAAAGCAATGTGTTGACTGGATCAGCGAGACAGATTTACTGCATATCCCAATGACAAGGGAAGTCACTCTGGATGTTGAAGCTCTAGATTCAAATCTCTGCTTTGCTAATATCCCAGACCAGTTCTCAGCTGTATAGCTATCCATTGGACTTTTTAACACAAGCCATGAATAAACCACTGATAGTATAAAATGGAACTGTTCTGACAGCAAATATCAAGAAAACTGCCCCAGAAAAATCAGCAGTCTTGTGGTTTGTTCACTTATCTGAATGTAGTATCCCAGTTTAAATCCCAGTGAACTATGCAGATGAGACTGGAACATACCTGAAGAATGCCCTAGCTAACAGGCCATCCTGAGACATACAAACTTTTTCTGATTGTTGTCATGTTTTTGAGAAGTCTCTCTTGCCTTAGGGTAGAATAGGACAAGCATCTCAAAATGATCTTCTTCCCAGCTTGAGTAAGTAATAAGATAGTGGGGATTCTTTTCTCCATTTTCTCTTTGTGTTCATGAGTTAACTTTGTATTTTTGAAAACAGTTTTTCAGGTTAGAATTAAGAGACTCATTAATAACTATGTAAAATTAGAGGGAAATAAAGCAAAGTTTGTCATAATAGCTCTCTGGCTTTCTTCCTGTTTGAAACTAGGCTGGCCATGTCTGTGGAGATGATATAGACCTAGTTGATGGACGTCCCACTGGTTCTGTGAGAATATCCTTTGGCTACATGTCTTCTTTTGAAGATGCACAGACTTTTTTGAAATTCATCGTAGCCACCAGACTCTCCAAGTCAGACACTGAGATTCCCTTCCAGTTCTCTATTACAAAGCTGACAACAGAGTCTGTCCCAGATGACCACCCTTCCTTTAACAATGCAGATGAATTGTCTCCAATACCACACATCTCAGACCGAGAACTCGGGAATAATTCGTCTGCGACAAAGATGACTGTCAACTGGCAGCCACCGGAGGCTGAGGTGGAAAGCATAAGGGCGGCTGTTTCTGAGACTGCAGTACCAACATGTAGAAGAGGTGGCAAGCCCATCACTGTCACCAACATTTACCTCTACCCAATCAAATCCTGCTCTGCATTTGAGGTATACACTTTGAATGATTCTTAAATATTCATCTCAACCTTGTGTTTTTCCTTATCCCTCTCGGACACGTCAACCAGGAATAGCATTTACATGAGATACTAGGAAGTAATATGTGCTTTTCTTCAGTTTCTAGGATCAAGTCCTGCATGCTAAGGTACTTTGAAGGATTTTCAATTAGACTGAAGTTGCAGGATGCAAATGTGTCTTCTGCTCTCCCCTCCCCCCCAACAGACAAATCTGCAAAAAACATGCAGTCTTGAAGCAAATAGTTGGATTTGCAAAACTTGACTAAAATATAATCAAGTAATTAGTATGCTTTCACAGAATGGCATGTGATGGACTTGTAGGCGTTGATGGGTAGGCAGCAATTGAGAAATAACTTGATTAACATGTTATAATTGAGAGGAGGCTGATTTACATTACAAAGAAATGTTATCATTAAAAATACATTTGCAACAGAAATATGACATTTAAGTGTTGCTGCACTATTTGAAGGTTCACTCTTTGAAGATTTTAATTGCTTTTTTACCAAGTTAATAATATCGTCACCTTAGCTGTGACTTTTTTTTTTAAATAATGCATGATGAAATAGGTGTATGGCCCACACATGACCTGGAATGTGACTCTGCATAGTACCATACTGGGAAGTAATTTAATGAATGTCAATATCAGTATAACTTTCCCTATGAAAACTTGCTGGTGTAGGTCACTGTCTCACATCTGAGTGAAAATTGGGGTCAAATCCAGCGACAAATCACCTGCATTTAAAATATGGCTTCTCAACTGATTTGATCATGATTTTTTTTTTTTTTTCTTAATGCAAAAAGAGGATGGGGAATTAAAGCAAAGACTGTTAAATGATCAACAAAACATGTATTTTTAAATTTGGTTTGGCTTATGATGTCTTTAATTTAGAGGCACGATTTTGAGCGTTAAATGAGACCTGAACAAACAATTTCCATGCCTTATTAAAATCCCACTAAATCAAACTGTTTCGAAAAAGGAAGTAATTCCACATTTCATGTGAAAATGTTTTAACCTTTGTTTAAGTGTTGCAGTTATTATAGCTGTATTACAGAAGCCCACTACAGAAGCTGCTGAAATATGTTGTGGCAGTATTCGGGTGCCTTTGGGGTTAAATTCTATTTTTAACGTCCAGGCTGGTGTTGTGAGATACATACCACAACATTCAGTGCTAGGAAGGCTTTGAAGTGATTGTGCCCAGGAGCAGGTAAGACGAACCTCAGCATGAAACACAGCTTATGTTTCCCCACAAGCTGAGCCAGGTTTCTTCTTTTCAAGCTCTGTGAGGGGAAACAACTCTAGGTGATAAATTCATACAAACCTGGTACTCCCTGGCAGACAGAACTGCAATTTTATATGGAGGTAGAAAATTCCTATTCCTTGTGCATACTTCTTGTGCCAGGCATGTGTTAATGGGCCCAGTGTGAAAGCAGGGTTCATCTTACCTCTACGTACCCCTCCAAAGTTAGACAGTATTCTGTAAGAAGTGAGAGATGGATACCTGCTAATTCATCTTATCGTAAAATAGGCATCTGCAGTAGGAAAAATGAGTTGTTCTTAGGTATTTCTATCTCTTTCCATTGACTACAGGAGGAATCCAAAGCAACTTGGATTACACAGCTAACACTAGCTGATTTGAATAGTTCAAAAATACAAATATTAAAATTGCAAATATATTACGAGGTTCAGTTTTGCATGCCTAGAATAATTTTTGAAGTCTAGTGTATTCTGGTTTGATATTTTTTGATAACAAAGCATCAGCCACATTAAAACCCAGTAAGCTAAGCACCGTCAGAGCCTGTATTGCCAAAGAGTAATATACAATTATATATATACTGGCTTTAGTATATGGTATTGGAAGAGGCTGGAAATTCAGTATCAATAGCATTTAATTCTTCTCCTCCTCTTATCAAAGAGCATTTTTTCTGCATTTCCACTTAGTTCATGTAAGAGACATGAGTACATGTGAAAGAACAGTAGAAGTTGACCTAACAGATACGATTAAAAAGGGCTTTCAATGCATAATGAGAGCAGGCCAGGAGATGAAGATTGATTGATTTTCATTATTTTCAATATTGAAGTAAATCCCCAAAGAAAATGTGTTTGCTTTCATGATCTTCTTCCTGTCTGCCAGGCATTCTTCAGGTTTTTGTTCCCAAAGGTCTCTGAGTGACACTTCTAGACCTGTGGTACATTTATAAGCAGCCTGTGAAAGATCTGTCATTCTCATTGTCTGCCTATAGAAGAGGTGCAAATGGCAACTTACAGCCCACCATTTGTAATGAGCTTTAAAAATGAGTTAATCCCATTCTAAATCAAGTAGTGGCTTGGTCTCTTCCCGATGGCTAACAGTAGAATAGAAAGCCAGTGCTGCCAGAACCCACAGCATCACTAACTGCAGAGTGCATCACCCTCCGCAATTCTATGTATGTCATTACTGCAACTTCAGCCTGTATCACCTTGAAAGGGGAAAATGACCCATGCCACACGGCACTGGAGTTTGAAGCAAAACATGCCAGAGAAGCCTTACCACAATTAAATGGAATCAAATCCTGAAAATCATTTTGCCTTTTAAAATATTGATTATACCAGCATTTCTAGGCTTTATCATGAAAAGATTTAATCCCATAGAAAACTGTTCCTTTGCAAGTCTCTTAGTGGTCTTTGTCATACAGACCTCACACTTAACATTATATTATCTCCCTACTTTAGTAAACTCATAAAGTTACTCTGACATAATAATCATGTAGCTTATAGTTTCCTTGGTCTTCAGTTAGAAGCCAAGAATTGAAATTCAGTTTCATGTTTTACATCTAAAATACCTTTAGATGCTTTGTAGTTGTTGGAAAGTTAGAAAAATATTTTCCCAATTAAAAATTTGATCTCCTTTTTTATCAGTTATAAGATAGCTCTAAGCTAGTTGATGTGGAAAGGTGAAAGTGGTTTAGATATTGGGTGGCAATAAATTCACTCATCTTGTACTTGGATGCTTGAGATCAGAATCTCATAGATATGTAAGTTCAAGTGCAGGCCTCCAGCTGATATGGTAGTTAGAGCTTTAGGATGTGTAGTAAATGGACTTTATTGTTAAGTACATTATCATTTGCGTTTGCCTAAAATAATACGTGCAGTGGAAAATTCCAGCTAACTGTGTGTGCAGGACCCAGCCCGTCTGCCAGTGAAGTCTGCCTGCTGACTTACTGGTTGCAGGGTAGATGACTTGATTAGTGGAGGGAGGACAAACTCACAGCTGTTTGATCTCCTCATGAGTCACATAATCTCCTTCTCTCCTAAACTCTGATTTCTCTGCTCTATTCTAAGTGTTTTAGTATGGGAGGTGCTTGACCTCCAGAGAAAATGACAGTGCAGAGTGCTTTGGCAGCTGGGAGGATGAAGCTTGGCATGAAGATGATCAGTGCACTACAAGTTGGTTAGTTCCTACAGCACGTGTGTTTTATAAAGTGTTCCTTACCACAGGACGGTTTGTGTTCAGTGTTGTTCCGTGGGGTTTGTGCACACGGCGCAGGAAGCAGAGGGCAGAATATTCGAACTCAACTTCTTAAATGCACTTTCTTTTACCTACAATTATTTTTTTAAATGGGGAGAAGCAGAGAAGAGGAGTAACCTCTTTCCCAGGTCACTTTTTCCCTTCTTTTCCAGCATAAAAATGTGTTTTAAACATGCATTTTTGAACATGAACATCTCTCATGTCAATGAATTTTCCATAATTACATAATGCAGTGTGCCCAGTGAAAAAGGTTAGGACTTTAAACATTAATAACTTTATTATTCGTGCTGTAGATTTCAGAGTATAAAAATTGCATCTCAACACAGAAGACAAATTAGCTTTTAATTTAAAATACAATGCAAATTCCTAGTGATCAGTGGATAAATTATATGTAAGACCACTAACATTTTTAAACTTGCATAATTTAAAACCTATTCAGCGATTCCTTTAATGTGTTCGAAAATTGCGTTAGCCTTCATGATGACATTACTGTGAACTATGGAAAAATGCAGCCCAAAATGTTTTAAAGAAAATTCTGAAAAAAACAAAAACATGTTTTTGCAATGAATATTTTTACAAGAAGAAAAATGGACTAAAGCAGATAGGATAATACCATGTACTATGCAATGATCCTTGCTTATGACAGGTAGAGAAGACCTTATGTTGGGTGATTAGCACACCTGCCATGCTGGGAATGAAGGTGAATGCAAGCATCTGTCAGTAAAATCATGGTGTCCCTGATTTCTTCCTGTCCTCTGCCTCCTAATTTGTCTCAGTAGTCAGAGATGGCCAGACAACTTCAGGGACTCAAGTTAGAAGCTGTGTAATACAGTATTGCTTACTGCAATGTACACTAACCTGTTTTATTTTACTTCGCAGTGAGCTTCATTGGTTGCTTTGCTTCGCTTTATTGGTTGCCTGAATATAGGTTTTTAGTGACATCTGAGTGCCCTGACTGACCTCCTGCTGCTGGTCCAGCGGGATGTGGATCACCTTTGCAGCCTGCATCATTTCTGCTAGCCTTGGGCAGACATCTCAGATGCAATCCAAGGGAGCCAAACTGAACCACTCTTCTCCTGTCTCAAATGAAAGCAGAGCAGGCAGAATTTGCTTGAACTGCTCTAATTCAGTTGCTTGCAATCACTTAACAATCCCTTCAGCCTCTTTGAAATAATGGCGGGAGACGGTCTGCACAGGTCGCATGCCTAAGTACTAAGAATAGAAATGTGTATCTTCTTCCATGCTCAGTATTAGCAACAAACCAGCTGTGACTGTTTCTTGATCATCTGTGACTCTCTGTCCAAGGCAGGGTACGCAGTTATTTTTTTGTTGCAACTTTATTTATTGGGGTGCTAGCAACATATGCAGTACAGTGAATTGAAAAGTGGAGAGGAAGTAGGGCACTTGACAGTGTATGGGGGACATCCATGAGAGGACAGGGACTCACTGCTGGGCACGTATATGTATGATTCTTATTACAATGCCAGATACCCAGAGGAAGGGGAAAAACGGGCTGAGGACCTGTAGTCATGTGCTGCATCTGAGAGAGGAGCATGGAGTTACTTGCCGTTATTTTGGACCTATCAGGGGTATTTTGAATGGAAGGTGTTGATTATTTCCAAGTATCTGCTACCTAGTCAGCTGAGCTTTCCCCACAATGCCTATGAGCATGTAAGAATTAGCTGAAGCTCTGATTAAAGAGAAGATGTTTTGTTTTGCTCATAAAACCTCTTACCTTCAGTGAAGGGTAAGCAAACACTTAAGCTGTTTCCTGAATAAGATTGCTGTCCTGAAGTGGAACCAAAACAACTGAATGTTACAATAGGGAGCTAGGAATCATTGTCTTCATGCTCTTTTCCTATTTTTCTGCTCTTTTAGTTTATTCCGCTCATTATGTCTTGCAAATCGTGTAAAGATCTGTTGGATCCATGAGAGGATGTATTACCGATTAGTGATCTTCTGTTTTGGAAGGGAGATTTGTTAGCAGTAAATTCTTGCAGCTCTCAGATGATCACCAGCTGTTCAAATGCATTTTGTAATTTAATTATACAGGATAACAAAAAAATACTGGCCTCTCCAAAGAATAATTTCCAGCAAGGACAAAAGTCTGTTCTTCAGCTGATATTGCAGTCTTTGGGCTATGATTCCTCTCCTAAAAAGACAGAGCAAAGGTTTACATCATTTAGGTGCTGACAGCTTGAGGCGCTTGGACAACATGGTTTCAGATGACACTGTCAGACCTAAAGTTTCCATTTTTGACTGAATTTTAATTCCACGCTCACTTAAAAAACTGCCACAGAATATTATAAATCAAGTAGGTTGATAAAATACATTTCTTATCTTTAAAATTTTTCCATGTATTTTCTGTATTCAATACAGTTGATAGCACTATGGCCAAATTATTTGAGTTCAGCTTTAATGCTTTAAATTTTCAGTTTTAGAGTGCCTGCCCTCAGCTTTCTCTAGTCAGGCCATCAGTGTCAAGCTACTGCTGCAGGCTCCTATAAAACCTGGAAAAGTTTTTAAGAACGGGATATCATGGTTCTGTGGGGGTTTGGATAGAGCACATGCCAAACAAAAATGCGATTTTTAATTAATCTAACTACTGCTTCCAGCCATGCTTTTCTTCAGAGCATCAGGCTGTGCCTGACATGTCTTTTTCTCATACTTTTTGCTAAAGTCTTTTGCCAGTTAATTCATGTAAGCTGCGCTAAGCTTCTCTACAAGAATTCAACAAAGTTCAGCTGTAGTTAACTTTTCTCCATACTCAACCGTGACTAGAAAGCATACATGAGTTGAAGCAATATGTTTAAATGCCAGCTTTATGTTAAAAGAATGGTATTAATGTTTTAACATTCTGAAGGAGAAAGCAGTTATTAATATCACCCAAAGGCATTACTAAAATTGCTCTCTTTTTGGATTTCAAGATTACCATCTGTGTAGCATCAGTAACAGATGTTCTTTTCACCAGAAAAATGTACATGAAAGCAAGGACAATATGCTTGTATAGGCTATTGAATGTAAAGAGTGTTATAGAAGTAATGGAAGAACAGATAGAAGACAATGTCTTTTGTTGTAAGGGGATCTGGAGAAACTATTATGCTCCTAGCTAAACCAGAAACCTCAGTGGTGGAGGTTTTCTCAAATGGATTCATTGATAAAGAGGTTCCAGTTTTATGAAAAATACAGACATTTTTTCAGAATTTTGAATTTTGAATTTCACATTTTTCTTGCTTTTTGTTTGTTTGGTTTTGCCTTAAATCATACAACTCCCATGAAATGTCCGTGCTTTGTAAATTAAAAGAAAATTGTTGGGGGGAAAGGTCCTGAAAATGGATGAGTATAAAACTGAAAGCAGTTTTCAGAGTGTTTCAGAGGTTGTTTACTCTATTCTCATAGCGCTGTTAAATCAAAGTGTATGATAATATGTAAGAAATTATAATAATTCCATTTTGTTTTGTCAGCTTTATGCAGTGATATCTTTATCTTTGATTTGCAATTAAGGTTTCTCTTGTTAAAGGCTGACATTGGCTTGCACAAGTTTTCCTGATTTCAAAGTATTTCATTAACGGTTTCTTTTCCCTCTCTGTTCTTTTCAGCGTGAATCTATTAACGCAGCTAACATTTTCTAAACTTTTGTATCCCCTCCTGATGCTTTTCCAGGTTACAGAATGGCCAGTGGGAAACCAGGGTTTGCTGTATGACCGTAACTGGATGGTTGTAAACCAGAATGGAGTCTGTATGACTCAGAAGCAGGAGCCAAGGTTGTGTCTTGTAAATCCCTCCATTGATCTGAAGAAAAAGGTTATGGTCATCCAGGCAGAAGGTTGGTTAACCAATATCTTTTTCTCCCCTTCATTATTCGTGTCAAACTTCTAGACAGAGACACCTGCATGCACCCACGAAACTACTGAATGCTGTGCATGCTTACTGGCTTCAGGGACAAATTCTGCTACCAGCTGTGGGCAAAGAAAGCCTGGGCTGTAATATACAGCCCTGGGTAGTTTCCTAGCTTGTTGTTGGGATGAGCAGAGAGTAGACAGTGACTCCCTATGTGCAATCATAAAGTGGATGCTCCAGGAAGGAGTAACGAATTGACAGATGCAGAAATTTACTGACTAGTCTATCTCTCCACATCATGAAGTCCATCAGCCTGAAGGGACTGTTACTGCTGCAAAGGTAAAGGAATAGGAGTCTAAAATCAAACACCTTGGCCAAAGACCTTCCCATTTTATAGCTCCCCTCCTCCTTCCAGCTGTGGGACTAGAGGGGTAGAGTCTTCAGTGGAAATCTGTATGAATTAAAATAAGGACCAGACATTATTTAGTTCAGTTAAATACTTGCACTAGCAGGCAAATATTTCATTATGTTTGCGCTTCTCTGGATTCATCAAAACTCTTTTTATTCTCTGCTGAGTGGAAAAAAAAGAGAAAAGCTTATGGAAAGTATTACGGAAAGCCCTTTGCTACTTGGGGGTGCAAATTATTTATTTTGCTAACAGTGCTGTTAGCACTGAACACTGGAACAGGTTTGTATTCCACAAAAGTCATTATTAATGCCAAGTTTGTGTGTGTCTGAATGGTGTTCATCATTTCCCTGGGGTCTAACATTTACTCAGCCTGTATGTCTTAACCATTAATAATGTATGTGCCCACATTTTCAGCAGCTAGAGCAAAATAAGGGAATCTATATTCAGATTTTTCACCCTTTATTAGAAATCCATATGAGTGGACCTGTAACTACAGTTTCCTTTCTGTTTCTACATTACAGTTGTCGTCCTCTCCAGCTGTCTGAGCGATCTCCATAAAATTAAGTCTGACCAGTTGATTTCTTTTGTCTGGAATAGGATCGTCAAATGTACATTTGGGTACTTCCACTAGTCTTGTGTGATTTTATGTGTGTGTTTCAGATCCCAAACACAATCTAGTCTCTTCTTAGGGATTCCACACTGGCTCATTGGCACAAACGCTGTTATTTTCCACTCTTCCCTTTGTAATCTTTCTTTGAAAAGGTATTGTTAATTCATGTCAGTTCTATGTGGAGCACCTTGCACCTCAAATTTTTGTAATGCATTTGCATAAACAGCCTTCTCTCACAACTTTTAAATTACCAAGTGCTTCAGAACTAATTTTTTCTAGAAATTCAGTTTCTTTCCATCTCTCTTCCTTTCTGCCAGTACTTCTTGCTTGCAGACACAATGTGAAGTCTTGTCCAAACCTTCTCCATTTATCCTTCACATTTTCAGAGATTCAGCTCTGTTGGGCCTTTTGATTGCTTCACTCTGCTCGTCTAAGTATGTTCTTAATTTTTTTCCTTGCTAGTACCACATTGTTCAGAGAAGTGCATGTCCATTAGTATGTTTGCCTGTCAATAATATCTGCACTGACATACTTCAGAGAGTCAGGAAGAAGTTTTCTCAGACAAAAATGACAGTCAAGGAACGCATTTCTCACTGAGATTTACAATATCTTGCCATAGTTAGTGCTAGGTTGAAATTCACCTTTAAATCCTACATTTTATTGGTGTCATTTTCAGAGTTTTCACTGTCATTCACCTTCCTTCCTATGAAAGTGATAACCATTTCCATCCAGAAGTGATTGACCAAGTCTATGGATCACTTTTCCTCCCCAAAGTGATTGATCAGATCTCCAGTGTGCTCTAACAGAAACGTGGTTGGCATTTATTTATAGCCCGCTTTGGTACAGCCAGTATGTAAGAGTGGAGTCATTTTATTCTTTGTATAATGACTCTAGATACCAATAATCTTAGCGCATAAAGTGGTCTGCGCCCTTTTTTTATAATAGTCCTGCTATTTTTCACTCTCATAGTGTACTTGCAACCTGTGGTATTTTTTTAATGCTTCACAGTGAGATAATGGCTCTCATTTGCTTGGGGAGACTATTCCAGAGGTTACTGCTCATAAGATAGCACAGTCGTGGGAACACATACAAACTGACAGGGTAAGACTGAACAGATAAATCTGTAGGAAGTTGTTCCAATATTTATTCTGTTTTCTTTCCTCTTACCTGCAGTCTAAATGCATTATTTGTTTGTTGGTGTTAAATTTTTAATTTTTTCTTTTATCCCTTCACATACATGGGTCATTGTTATATCTCCCACTTAAATCATTTCATGGCAGCAAATTTAATTTAATAAGTTGACTCTTCCCTTGAAAATCCCAAGTTAATCACTGTTGCTTTTGTCACCACTCTCTCCAGCCTGTCAGTAGTTTGTTGCTAATGTAGGACCTGAAGCTGAACACCACATGCGTAGCTGGAGCAGCAGTCAGTGGGGTGAGGAGCAGTCACCCTCTGATGAGCCGGGCTGGCTGTTGTGCAGCTCAGAGCCTTCACTGGCCTACAGCTGTGGCTAATGGTATTTCAGATTTGTAGCACTTACCCTGCTGACCACAGCCACCTCCAGGTCTCTTCCGGCTTTGTTGCTTTGCGAGTTTCTTTCTCCCACTGGATGCCTCCCACCTGAACTGCCTTTCCTCAGCTACAGTAGCATACAGTAGCTCCAAGAGTTTTGTTTCCTCCAACTCCCCCTCTCCTCCCCCTGCCCTCACACTCCCCATGCAGTTCCTCTGTTCTTCTCCGTGTGATGGGGACATTTCTGGAGGTGAGAAGTGGGTGAGGGAGGCGACACTGGTGGAAAAAAAAGAGGCAAAACCTTTGAGCTGCACCTTTACTGCACCTCTTGCTCTGCTGAAAGTGAAAACCCAGCAGCTCCCAGCTGACTGGGTGACAACTGCAGTGAAGCTAGCTGCCTTCCTCCTGCTCCTCTGCAAGGATGCTGTAACGACTCTGCTTTCTCTACCAGTTTCTCTGCTGTCATCTGTGCTTGTCTTATTGTGAGAGCAGGCTGTGGCAAAGATCTCCATCTAAAGCACGCTTTGCTGTCTGGAGGTGTCTCTCTCCAATAGAGAGAGCCTAAGGCAACCGTGCCTCTGGTAAGTGCCTAAAGCCCAGTGGGGCGAATCCTACATAGCTAAATTGTGCGGTATTCTTAAAGAACATTTTGCTGTTACACTATTAGATTATGGTGAAGACTTTATGTTTTAAAAGTGGCACAGATAATGAGTCTGTTCTCTCTCCCCCTCCAGGCATGTGCTTTCCTCTCCCTCTAGAACTTTTTTCATCAGTGGAAAATTTGTTTATGGCTATTTTATTTCAATACGGTTTAATATTCTGTCTTCTCTGTCCAACAAAATAAAACTGTCAGCATGATTTAATGTGACAGTAACTACTTTAATACCTTTTGCTGAATCCTCCATGTGCTGAGGCACCGCTTCATGTTCTTCTTTAACCCCTGTGTGTAGCGTGTCTCCGTAGCCCATCTAACAACCAGCCTTGGATGGGCAGACTCGCTGACTGACCTGGCTGTACGATCCTGCCGTCCCTGTTGGTAGCAAGGACATCAGACTGGGGCTCTAGATGAGGCCAAAACTGCTTGAAGGCTTAGGATCCTTCCCTGGCATGCCTGCAAAATTCGTTGGCTTGCATGGCAGCTGGGGAGCTCCAGGTATTCCCCTGATCCCTGAGGAAGGGGGTAAGTGAGAGCAGAGGGAGAGGAAGGGCTTGTGCTTGGTCTCTCATTGGCTGTACTTTACTTTGGTAGAGGGACTGAGATTTTAGTTTTGAGAAACTGCATTTCTGAATTTTGTCAGAATTATTTTGTTAGGTTATGTGGTTGTTAACAGGCATTTCCTATTCTTTTTGATGTGAAGAGTGTTAACTAACCCTTGCTGTCACAGGACCCACTTTTAGAAAATCGGTATAACTTTAAATAAGCCCCTGTGGAGAAAGACAACGACTTGAATCTCAAGTGAAGCAGTTAATTGTTAGGCTTCCAGCTCCCAGTTTAAAGGTGGGCAGGAGCAAGTGCCTTTATTTCTGGAAGCCGTGTTGCTTGAGTGGGAATCAAGGGAAATCTTCTTGTCCCACTCCATCAAATACATGGGGGCACAGATTACACTGGGCATGTTCCTGACCGACGTAAAAGTAAGCCAGACAGAATTTAGCTGAGAATACATTTCTGTAAAAGACTAATTTCTCTCTTTCCATTTTAGCTAACAATCAGCATTACTCTGGCAAGTTGGGCATTAGTTTGCCACCGCACAGAGGGAGAAATTTTGAGTGTTTGAAGGCCCTTTAAAATATTGGAGTAGAAAGATGCTAGCAAAACTGAGCAACTAATTACACTTTATGGAGTTTATTGTGCCTTCAAATAGTCATGTGTTACTGCCAATAAAAATAATGGGAATTAAGTGCATACACTGACGAAAGAATATACATGAATAGTTTATATTTCAGTCTATTGAAATAACAGACCTCTAATTTTTCTCATTGACTGAAAATAGGAGCTATAAAGACAAGAATTTTTTTTTTATATTAATACTGTGAGCACATCTGTGAATTTTATTATCAAGCAAATGACCATGGAGAATGACAGCTTTTACATTTTAGTAACTGGCAATATTCTGCTTTTTTTTTTTTGCCTTAAGATAGAATAAAATTGTAATTAACAATGTTTAACTGACCTAAACATCACTGTAAAATGTGTACTGTTCAATAAAAATGTGATACACTTGCTGGTATATAAAAGCATGGCTTTTTAAAGCCCTGAGACTCTATTTTAAGAAATTTTGTGAGTATGCCTTGCTTAGAAAGTATTTTTAAAAGGTATAACAGCTAAGGATGCATACAGGACAAAACCTTTCAAACTCTTCTTTTCCAGAAGGAATGATGCTAATGTTTTTTTTTTTCAAAGTACAAAAGCATTAGTTCTAGTTTATAAGATAATAACATTGGCTTCTTTTTCAGGTTGTTGAAGCAAGTTTAATGCATTTATTACTTACGTGTTTTATTTTCCTAAGTGAACCTCGCTTTTCCTCCTCTGTCTTCTGAAGCATACTAACATCATTAGCTAAAAAAGGAGTAGATGTCTTTCTGTATTGAAAACTTCCATGGAACAGAGCTGATAGTTGGGATATAGTGAATTTGAACTACATTTCATTATTCTTCAGAGGAGAATAAAACAATTTGATTTCACCATATCACAGAGCTGGTAGAGCTTGATTCTTATTTGTACTACAATAATATAAACAGGAAGTAATGAGTGAAATTGAAACATGCTGATATAAAGCTGGGGTACAGGAGATCAGTCTTTGCTGGTTTATGTTGCAGTATAATGGATTCATTGCAGCCACACAGTAAACCCTTTCTTAGTCATTTCAGATTATTGCTTTCAATTAACAGAAAGGAAAATAGTACAGTTTTTCTTTTAGTTCTAGGAAGCCACAGTAGCCTTTCCATCTCTTTGGCTCATTCTTTTCAAGATAAGAAAACTATGGAAGAAACTGTTAACAATAGATCATTACCAGGGATTCCTCATCTGGTTTAAACTTAGAAATGGATAGATGGGAATAATTCTCTCATTAGTGGTTTCCATACATTTTATCTTTAAATTATTGTAGTTTTATGACACATTATATTTCTTCCCTTGAACAGCCTGTGCTTATTTTTTCTCTCCACCCCCCCTCCATCTTTCATCTTTCTGATCACTCCATCCCGCCACTCCAAAAAAAACCAACCCGACAGTGATTAACCTCATTTCCTGATTTGCTAGAGGGGGCACAACAGTGATAAACTCATCCTTTCAACAGAAAGAGGCAGTAATTCTGTGCCAGTTTCGTTGCCCAAGATACACAGAGAATGAAGTTACTCAAAGCTGAAACTGTATATTCCTTAATGTGGTTTGGGTACCAAGGTCATCTGCAGCCTTTGCTCTTTGCATTATCATTTGGAGCCACCTGCAGGCAGAGAATATAATTCTAGCAAAAAGAAAAAGGATTTTTGTCACATGCTATTTGGGAGGCTGCTGTGATTGTGAACAGGTGCAAAAATAAGAACTTTTTTCATGACCCTATATTTCTGCATAAATTTTCCTTTTTTAAATATGGTTTGTTCTCTGCCCATCTAGGCATGGACCCAATATCTGTATCACTAGAAGAAAATACTGGAAAAGAGGCTGTGATCTGTGAGAGTAAAGTCTGTTCACACAGGTGAGTGAGAGCAGAGAGGAATCGAAGCTGAACATCACTGCAGTGACACTCAGGACATGATTGGATGGACACACAGGGTCAGAAGTCATTAAAAAAAGAGGGGGAGGGTGGAAAGCAATGAATGCCTTGGTGGACCATGAGAAGACAGATTTAGATAGGTAATTTGTCATGCCCAGCATGTCTGGTAGAAAACACTTATAAATAATAAAAATTAAAAAGGGGGGGAAGGAACAGTACAAGAGACTGTGATGAACTGGCACTCACCTGAATAAGGGAGATCTTTGTTTTGCTTGCTGCGAGGATGAGAAAAGGGAAAGGTTTCCCCAGTTACTTCCAAATGCCAACTGGGGGGCCTCAGCAGGACTCCAGAATTCAGTTCCTTCATTTGACAGTAATGATGCTGGCAACTTTGCCCATTTCATGCTGTGCGGATTCAAAATTGCTAGAGCCCGCTGAGGTTATAAACAGCTTTCCATATTTACAACCCTTTTTAATTTTGTTTTGACCACCCATGTTGATCAGTGTCCCCTTAACAATCTTGGGAAGATTGCAGGTGAGTATGTGAAATAACATTAACTCTAATCAAGAGACATACCACTTCAGTGAAATATAACATTATGCATAAATTAATTTCCTATCAGTGAACTTAAGTGTTTATCCATCGTATTTTCTAAGTACTTCCCAGTCTCATTAAGTTTTCTGAGTGGCAGTGTATCAAGTGCCTTCCTAAAGTACATTTGCATTATCTACCACATTTCTTTTCACCGAGTCTCTTGGTAAGTCCAACTAAAAGAGCCACTTACAGATTTACGTCTTCTTTTAACCAAGTTATACTAATTCTTTGTAACCCTCTACATTTGTTTGTAACACATAAACAAACCAGGAGAAGACCTGGCCATTTTCCCTATGGAGCCGTGCAGGAAATGATCTTCTCCTTCTTTTCTACTAGCTATTCAGGTGATAAAGAGGATCTTTTTCTCAGAAGTGTATTTTCCTCAGGTAGTGGAATTCACCCAAGAGTCATTTGTTTTAACCATCTGTCCCACTTCCCTTAGTGTTGATTCATCCTTAGCCTCCCCATGGTTAGCCCATCTATTACAGGCTGTAAAATAGCCTAGGTTATCTTTCTCTCTGTGTGCATATAATTGGATGCCATACTATTTATCGTAGCTTGTCTTTCATGTCACTGACTATGTCATTGTTAATGTATGAAATAGGAAGTTTTCATGGGAAACTGCTTAGAGTTCTGAGGAGGAAGAAAAGGATGGAATGACAAAGAAAAGAGAGATGCAAGGTAAATTGCATAAAGCGGACTGTGATTAGCAAATAAACAAGGCAGGAAGTAAGGCAGGATGAGTGGACAACATCGATGAGGCTCCCAAACTGCTCAGAGATCCAACAGCGCTGATGCCAGGTTCCCGTGTTTCAGCAGGGGAGCCTCCAAGGCCAAAAAATGGAAATAGGAGCAAAACAGTACTTTGCAGTAGGACAGAAGGTGATTTGTGGTCTGGGTCTTTTCTGCAAAGTCTTTTCTGAAGTGAGCAGTGGGACCAAAAGTCTTTGTTAAAAGGCTTTTATTCGAAAGAAACCCCTACTGAAGGCATTTTCCACTTACTAATTCTGCTTTCTGATGCTGTGATTTCATCCAGTTCTGTTGGCTTAGGTGGTTACTCTGAATTTACACTGAGATAGCTGAGAAAAGCACATGATGTAGAATCTGCAAGCAGTCACGTGGGGAAGTTTAATCTCACAGCAGCCACGAAAGTTTAATGATCCCAAGTTTCCCTTGTGAAGCAATTAATCAGTGTTAGCCTTCATCTCAGCAGGGGTTGTCCATCAGCATGTGCTGCTCACATTGGAGGGACATGGCTTTCTAGTATAATATCTAACAGTGGACAGATGCAAGTAGAAGCTAGTGATGTTAAGGTTATTTATGTTGCAGAAGACCCTAAATGCTCAAGGTTAGTGCTCTACTGAAATAGGCAGGGACACAGCTTCCTTTTTGACAGGCCACAATATCAAAGAGATCAAAGGAAGGGTATCAGTGGTAGAAGAAGACAAAGGCATAGTTAAAAACAAGGTGAACTGAGCCTTTTGTACGTAAATGTATGTATTATATCCCTTGGGATCAATGTTCAGACTTCAGCTGTCCTTGTTTCTTGTTCAATAAATTACCTAGCTAGAGGGACCAGCTGTAATGCACTGAAGCTAAATGACATAAGAAGAAGATGAGTGGGGAACTCAAGGCAAACAGCAAGTAGAATCTGAGAGAACTAGGCCCTCCTTTATAAATTGCCTGACATGTGCCAAATGAAACGTAATGCTGACAGATGTAAAGTAATACTCAACAAAAATAAACATAAGCAGAAAATGAGTAGAATTGAGCTACAACAGAAGGACTTTGAATAAGACCTTGAAGAGATGATGGTACTTGCTCAGAAAATCATCTGACAATAAGGGAAAGCAATTTGAAAACATAGGAGTCTTGGAATAAAAAAACTACACAGTGACATTTGATGAAATACTAAGAATGCTGTGTGTCTCTAACTCAGCCACCATGACTCAAAATGGTAGGCAAATAAAAAAGAGGGCAAAACTTTGATCCTGATTTATACAGTATTAAGCCCTAGCAGGCTGCTAGAGGTAATTGGCTCAGGAGAGAATTTAAATACCCTAGCACCTCTGTTTGGGTGGGAAAAAATATTTGGGGAATTTGTTTCACCTTTACTATTACCATGGAAGATTCATGCCTTCTCATTAGCAGCCTTCTCCCTAACACAGCGACCAGCAAGGATACAAGAACTGCTCAGCTCAGGCTACAGAATCTCATGTGGAGTCTCATCTTTTTGCCCTTGTTTCTTGCCACAGTGCCTGCATCTCATAATACCAGAGTTTCATTTCAGCTCTAGGACTCGCTGGCTAGATGCAGCTGTGGTTGGCGTCAGTCCAGTCTCAGAGTGGGGAGAGGGATGCAGAGCTGCACCACAATCAAAATTCAGAACAACCGCTGAAGAGATATCTGATCCCTGCAGGATTATAAAATGTCTTTGATTCCACTTGTCCCAGCCTTCTACGTGTGTAACTCAGCTGAACCTAAAGCATTTCATAAAGCCAAGCCACTTCTCTCAGTCCTAGGGTTTAGAATCTTCTGCTGTGAGGAGCTGTTTTCTTGTTTCACAGAGCAGATGGTATCCATGCAGATCAGCTTCTTTGGCTGGATAGGACAAAAAGGTGAGCATAGGACCATTGCTACCTCACTTTCCTTACTACAAGAATCCTGCCTAGATCGGCATGAGAATTTGCATTCCTCTTATCCATTTATGCCATTTAAAAGTTAGATGTCAGTCAAATCTCCTTTTGTAATCAATAAAGAGAGTTAAACGCTCCCAGAGTGAGGTCTAATATAGATGAGAACTACTTACCTCTTTTCGTTGTCTGTGAGGGGAACCCAGATAACTAATTTAAGATGGAAGTTAAGATTACTCAGGGCTAAGGAATCTAATGGTAAATAGGATCGCTTCCCAGTGGTCTGATCGGTGCCCTTCTTGAACAGAGAGAGGTGGTCTCAAAATTCCTTTACTAGTAATGGAAACCATCTTTAGATAGAGAGATACTTGGGCCCTGCTAGTGGAACCATGTTTTAATGTGGAGTATCTGTACTAATATGAATTAAATAAGGGAATTAACATCGTTGTACCTGATGGGATCATTAAAAATTGCATACAGTATGGCACAGTGAGGCAATCTTAAATTCAACTCAGATTAATCCTCTTTGTTTTAGTAAAAAGCACAGACCAGAGAATAACTTTTTCATAATATTGTATTGTAATATGGGCTACCAGTTACTGTACTTCAGAGTCGGTGTCTTGAGTGTCGCAATTATTTAATCCTTTATTCCACAGTAATTTTCTGTATAAAACTACATTAGAACTCGTGAATATTAACTTCAAGACTAACAGAGTAAAATTGAGGAAATTGGGAGATAAAATTATGCAGAACTTTACATCTCTGTTTTATCACTCATCAGAGAATACAGATTCTGTATCTTGTATTGGAAGAAGCAGAATAAACATCTTCGTAATTCGTCTTCAGTTTTGCAAATTAATGTTTGGGCAATCAAATTTTGCTAAGAAGTCCCTCTTTTCTCATAATAGGGTAAAAACATATGACTGTGGAGAAAGAATTGCTGACTGGTTCTCTTTGCTTCTTGGTCGTCCATGTCGCTTGATAAGACAAAGTTCAGACATGAAAAACAGGTCGCATCAGAAAAATACAAAAGGTATGTTGTCATTCTTAAAAATATTTGTGATTCCTCACTTAGTAAACATCAGGCTCATGGACTTCATACTGACTATATAATTACCCTGATAAAGGGTGAAAGAGTCATACAATATTGGTCTAGTAGGTTTCAAAGGGCGCATTTATACCCAAACTGTATTTATGCTGTATTTATACTTGTTACATTTGGTGAAAATGTACAGATACACCAGTCTGGGTTTTTTTAATCATCATGACCATGATTTTGTCTGGAAACTCAATGATCATTTTGAAAAATGATCATAAAAAATCTATAAACAAAGAATTTATTCTTAGACTAAATTTCGTTATAAAAAAGGATCAAATGGAAAGAGCATCAAAAATCCATAGATATTGCTCTTGTAAATTGTTTTACAAATTTGGTAAAATCTCAGCTTTATCTCAGTTTCTAAATGCATTGCGTCATTATGAGGGGATTCTTGGAATCTTTTCTTAGTGTCTGGAGCCGAATGAATAATTTTTTAATGAGAATGAATAAGAGGTCAAAGGAAAGATGAGGTGACATTACTAATACAATCTTCCTTATTTTTAACGATCATTTTAGAATATTGGATTCATTTTTTCAGGTCTGGCATCTGCTACAAACATCTCACTCTCTCTTGTGAATGAAGCACAATACCTCCTGATAAATGTAGCAAGCATTCTGAAGCTGAAAGAACGTATTTCTGCAAGGTAAGATCCTTCCTTCTGTCTTGAGAAGTCTCTCAGCAGTCTTGAATTCCAGAATCTTGCCATAAGATGCCAATATGACTGTTTTATCTGGAAATTTAGAGATAGTCACTTTTCAATGTTCAACAAATATATAAGTAACTAAACTGGTATAATTACTCATTCCTGTATGACTTCTGAAAATTTGGATTAAATGCTTGAACGTAATCTTTCTGCCAGACATCTTTAGGAAAACTTAAGCAAAATTCTCGTCAAATGATTTGGAGGCAGGAGACTATTGGGAACCAGCCAACTTCTGTTTGTGGGAAGAACAAGTTTAATTAGGTTTTCTCAACATAAATAATCTAGCAGGTGAAAATACCAAATCTTGCTACTTGCTGAACTATTTCTTTCCTGTGGGAAGGATTAACATTTATAGCAAACATTCACAACAGAAATATTTTAAAACTACTTGCAGGACTGGATTAATTTCGTTTCTTAATTGAATTTGGCTTCAATTCAAAAGCGGGAGATACAAGGAGCAAATGAAACATTGAGCCAGCCCACAGTTCAAAGACAAGGAACCCGCTACCAACTAAATTTTCATATGCTGAAAATAGAAGGTTGCTGTTTCTTGAATATAAGTAGGACAGGCTCAAATTCTACCGAAAATCTGCCCTCAAGGCCTCCATCAGGGCTGTGCATCCCACAGCCCCAGCATTTGTCTCTGAGCCCCTTTCTCCTGTCTCACCAAACTTCCCTGCCTCTGCTTGGAGTCATCTTCTCTCCTCTTAGTCACCCACCAAACATGCCCCCTGCATTGAAATTCCTGTTTTGAGTAGAGGAGGAATATATATATGTATAGCTGTAGGAGGATACATATATAGCTTCAGGATTTAAAACCAGTGACTGAATGAAGCATCACTACAGACCACTGGAGCTTGCATTGCCTGAGGGTTTTCTTTCTTTAGGAGAAGATAGTTGGGCAATTTTAGCATATCATGGCAGTGCTCCTCTGGGAAGAATGCCTGGAAAAGGTTTGAATCAGTCCATCTTTCAGCCGTTTTGACTACCCTTGCTAGTGATAGTTAATGCCTTCTTTTGAGGATTGACTGGCTCGGTTACACCTCCTCGAGAGAACAACACTTGCAGGCATGCCTTACTCAGACTGGGCTTTTTCCATGGTGAGACCCAGTGAGGAACCTTCCAGACGTGGGATCTGAGTGCAAAGAAGAGGAGTAAGGCACCAGAGGAAGCAGCAAGTGAGGATGAAGGAGGACAGGGAACTTTGGTAAAACATGCAATGTCAGATGATCCACTGATTTTGCGCCTAGTATCTTCCAGTACGACTAGGCTTGTAATCTCCTTTTCTTCAAAGGAAACTCCAAATGTGACTGGAGCTGCCATGATGCCCGAGAAGCATCTTGCTTCCCATTCTGCAGCACAAGTTGGAAAACTCTTTCCTATTTTGCCATGCAGTGCTTTCTCAGGGTGCTGGGGAAAGGAATTCAGCATAGATATACAGCATCATCATTTTGCACTGTTAGTAAATTGTGGTGGACGAACTTTCCAAATAGTGAACTGTATAATGTACTTTCTAGAATCTGCACATATGGGTCTTTATTAAATGTTTTTGGTTTTTAGAAAGTATTATTTAGCTTCTTGGCATGTGAATTTGTTTTTGTTTAATGGAAACCTGCTAAGATTTATAAAACAATTTTAATCTTCAATTAAGTTTTAATAATTTCTCTTTGTTTGTATCTTCTGTAAGTAAAAATTAATCCTCCAGTTTGCACTTGGCTCTTGGGAGATGATCTAAAACAGAAACAGTAATTTGATTAAAAATTAGAATGTAACATACTGTTGGAGAGCTATATGTATATGGAGAAATCTGCCTCTCTGGTGTTGCCTTTACAGGTCACCTCCATGAAAATCCCCATGGATAAGGCCTGGCCTTATGCTCAAATGTTCTTGCTAGAAATATGCCCCTGAAGATGCAAATAGTCATTTTCAAGTTTGCCTGTTAAATATATGTAATGTGTTCTGGACTGCAGGGCCCACTACCATGAAAAGTCCAAAGTACCCAGGCTGGCTTTGGCAAAATACACTGATTTTCACAACAGATCCTGGCTGAGAATTGCAGGATGAAGGTGCCACTCCATCCAGCTGATGCATGTTTTGAGCAGGGGGCAAATGATGGGCATTTACTCAGATACATGCTGCCAAGTAATTAGAAGCAGTTCTGAGGGCTGGGGATAGGCACAGGAGAGGTAAGGTACTTTGGAGGTGAGCCTGAGCAGGTTGAAGGCAGAGAGACTAGGAGTAAGGGCACTGCAGTCTTGGAGGATCAGCAGCAAGGGATAAAACACTAGAAACTAGGAATAGTTTTCAGCAGCTGGCTCAGGACGCTGCAGGCCCAGCTCTGAGGTTACTGGGGCTTTTGATGCCCCCACCGGTACCAGCTGGGGTGGCAAGCACTGATACGTCACAGAATGCATTCAAAACTAGAGGCTACACAGCATCCGAGCTCCAAGAGCCCACAGCAAAGCTAGGAAGCACAACAGCATAACTGAACTTGTTCATGACTAACTGCTATTTTTCTCCCTGTCTGTCTGAGCGTCGACATAGTTTACACTTTCTGTTGGCTCCTATCTCCTGCAATCATTACGAATTGTGTCTCAGCCATGGGATTGCTTGTGGGATCTCGAGGGAAGACCTGTAGCCCTTCAGCTTCCCATCCCACTCTCTACCCCCAGGCTGCTGGAGCCCTTGTGAACGGTGAAGGCTCGGTAGAGCAGGGCTTGGGTGGTTTGACTGAAAGCCTGCACAGGCAGTTTATCCTTATGCACATTTGTCTGCTAAAGAGGATCATCCAGACTATTTTAAATAAAATCAAGCTCTTTTTTTCACCTAACAGGCCTCTTCTGCCAAGACTGCTTGATGTGAACAGTTTTCCCTGTGCTTTGATTTTGCATGTTTTCCCTCATTTTAATTAAAACACATTTTAAACTGCATGTCCTTACTTTTTTTAAATTTTTTTTTTCCAGAACAGAAGCTTCTCTTTTCACTACTTACCCAGATTTCTGCCTGTGCTGTAGGGCATATCCGAAAGTTGTCAGACCACAGCTGATGGAGTATCGAAAGTTCTTCATGTCCATGATAGCTAATGCAAAAACAAATGCTCTTCTCGCTAACAATGGCACTGAGAGAACTCCCTTGCAAATTTTAGGGCTGTCTTTCTTTCTGGTACTGGTCGGGTTCTCCTTTAGAAGGAGAGTAAAGAATGACAATTCAGAGGTACAGCCAGATTTCTGATATTTGTATGCAGTCTGTTGCTCTGTCTGCCTCATATATGTTCTCCGCACTGACACAAATCTACACTCTGGCAGTTCAAATGCTTGTAAAAAGGTGGAGATACCACCACAGAGAGATTAATTTTTTTCAAAACACCTATCATTTGGTGCAATCTGCTGCATCCCAAAGGCAAATAGTAATAATATGATGTATATATTCTCTCATAAAATGCCTTTACTGGCCTTTTTCACCTTCAGCGTCTGCTGTTTTTGTCCCTGTTGCCACTGCAGCATGTGCAGAGTAAGTTTTTATTTGCCTTCTTTTTAGAAGCATTTAACAAGTCAAATGATTGCTAACTCAAAACATCTTTTCATTTGTTGCCATTAGCCTTACATATGATAAGTAATAAGGAATTTTCTCATATGCATTGTTCACAATCTCCTGTCTACATGCTTTCATATGTACTTCACAGTTCCAGGTTACACCTCTGAAGAAGCCACCTAGAGGATTACAAATTGTAGTCGAAGGATTGCAAATTATAGTTGAAGGCTTACAAATTATAGTTAAATACCTTGTGCCATTTTCATAGCCTTTGTAATAAAACTCGGTCCAGGTTATTCTGGAGAAACATTTGCTGAATCATATTAGCCACTAGATTCTTACAGCACAAATATCTAGTGCAGAACTAGTTAATAAACCCTATTTTTTCTTTTTCTCTGTCAACTCTGTGAGACAGATTGGAAGAGCCATTGGAAATAGAGGAATTAATCCGACGTTTCCGTGCCAACATTGTCATCAGTGCACCAGAGTCCTTTGAAGAAGAAGAGTGGGCTGAGATTTCAATAGGTGCTCTGCGATTCCAGGTGCGAACTCATCTTCCTTGTCCTAGTCCCAGTCTATCACAAAGTATTTTGACCCCTGGAGACAGAGCAATTTTTGCAAGGCTTTGACTGGAACATGGGCGGCACAGTTTGTGCAGATGAAACTTACGAAGTGTGTAAAAAAAAAAACCAAACATGCTGTGACCTGTGGCAAACATGCTTCAATATAATTGAGAGGTTTTGACATATTTCTCCACACCTTTTTTTTTTTATTTCATAATCCGTAAAATTTCCCACCTCTGTCCAACTGAGCAGAAAAATAATCACTGTTTTGAGGCAGTTTGCAGCAAATATTTAACCAGCATGTCACGGGAGAATACTGGTTGCTGTTAAGCGTAATAGTCCAAATGCAGCCTCGGATTGCTGCACATCAAGCAACTGACTGCCAAAAGACTGGACATGAATACAAGTGAACGATCACTGTCTATTGCTCTCTCTTGTATACATGTTGTCTTAATGTCCATTCAAGACATGTTTCTAAGTCTAGCCTGATAGGGTTTTTTCATATGTTATGCTTTGTATCATATCTAACAAAATAACGTGCTTTGTACTGTAAGGAAAATGCTGAAGAGTTAGACTTTGTTGGCAAATAGATTCTTTTGAGAAAAACTTCAACAAAGGATCCATGAAGAAGCTACACATGAAACCTAAGGGAATGATGCACACATGTATTACATGTTCTGCTGGATTTGTCTGGTCCTTAGATGTGAAATATGTATTTGAAAATGCAATGCCTAGGATGTGGAAGTGGCTTATTCATTGTTTTCTTAGGGATGATAATGAAGGTGTGAATAACAGAAGTGCTAAGGTCGGATCTAGAAGCTGTGATAGACATCACTCCTATTTCTTTCTGGTCAGCATACTGTAAGAAATGGAGAGGCCATTTTTTCAGTAAGGGTGAAAATTATTACTTGTCTGCTCTCTTCTTATGTGTACTTCGATCAGTAAGCTGTAATATGAGATACAGAAAATTGAGGGAAAATTTCTTTAGGTAGGAGATGAGGACAAAATCATTGGTATAATAGCTTGCTGGAGGCTGGATTTGCAGTAGGGATCTCAGCTCAGGATCCTTTTGTGGAATATACTGTAAAACTACAGAATAAAAAGGCACTCCTGTTTCTGGCATTGAAACACTTTAAGAATGCAAGCTGAAAATAGAAAGGCTTATGCAACTTGCATTGTCTTTTCCAGTCTCTGCTAGGTCCTTATTCAGATACTGATGTAGTAACAGTAGAAATTACGTTAATGGTACTTGATGCCAGGAAAATGGTAGAAGAAGCTGTTGAACAAAGCAAAGCAGGGAAAAATATTTCCTTCTCTGTCTTGTTTTCTTGTTCTTTTAATAAAATATTAAAGCTGTGGAAAATCATCTTCTAAAAAAGGTGGGCCAAATGTGTGGTTTCGATGATTACACTGAAGAGTTGTACAAGCAGTTCTAGATGTACCTTAAAGAACTGAAGTAGCACTTCAGATCAGCATATAAAAATGTTCGCAGTGTCAGGTTCAATTATTTGGCCTATTTGAAATTTGTGATACATTTTACAGAAATAGAATGTGTATATTGAGATGCTGTTAAGACAGTTTTTATAACGTACAGCTTTGCTAAAGTTAGGGTTGCAACATTAAGGGAAACTGGGATATGTCTTCCTTCTTAATTTTAATGCTTTAAAAGTTAAGAAGAAATTCGTTGCAGTTTTTTTCCCTAAAAACACACCCTAGTGCAAACAAGAATTAACTTTAAGAACCATGCTCTGTCTGTTACAGTAGAGGTTCTCATTATTCCTTCTGATTACATAAACTTGTGAAAATTCGCATTGTGCTTTCTGACTATCTGCAAGTGCTACGCCTATAAGAAAGAACGGGGGATATTGTGTATTTCAGCTGCACTGAAACAATGTAAACCAAACCCTGTTAGTTTAACTTCAAGAAAATCCTCCTTGGGTTAAATCCTGAGGCACTAGCTTAATTTTACATTCAGTTCCCCTTTGGGCAAGTAGCCCTGCCAGCCTGTAGATGAAGTGAAGCCATCAGGAAATACAAATATGTAAATGTTTTTGATTTCTCAGATTCTGTCCCTGGGAAAGTTTTCCTGAAAAAAAGAAAAGAAAAGAAAAAGTGAATTAAAAAATCAGCGAGACCTTTGCAAGTAGACCCTTTGAAAATGTACCTACATTAGATGAACAGGTCTGACCTCTTACATAATGAAAGCATAAACGAACACAGGAAAAGTATGTGAAAGATATGTTTTCAAGATATTATGATGCTCAGAAGCTTGTACTGTTCTGTGTTGTACTGCTTTGATATACAGCTGTGAACCTTCTTTAACTGAAATTTCAGGTTGTGGGTCCGTGCAGCAGATGTCAAATAATCTGCATTGATCAACAGTCTGGGGAACGAAACAAAGAATTTTTGCAGTCTCTGTCTGCTGCCAGAGGTAGAAAGGTCAGTACAGTACTCCAATATAGCTGTATAGAAAGATGTAGTGACTTCATTGCATGCATAGTGAAATATCTGCTGAGAGAATATTCACAATTAAGTTGTTATGCTAATTGTTACCATTTGTTTTTTCAGTAAAAAGAGGATGCACTTACAACCCAGATATGACATGGTTTATTTCCATAAAATGCTCAACACATTTTTTATTAAGAAATTGACTATTAATATGCATTATTTTTTACTGTGCTTGCTTTTATTCAGTATGTACTGCTTTATTTTGGTCTTGAAAAACACGAGCTGATGCGCTGATGTCATTCAAGACGACAAATCTGCAGAAAAAATCAGAAAGTGTTTGAAACGATGCAGTTAGCTTGTAAGACTAAACTTTATTGTTACTGTGAGAAACTACTTAGCAGGAAAAACAGAGCAGATGTGAATATAGTCACAGTGGAGAATAATTGATTAAGAAAGTGACTGGAGAATAAGTGTGAAATACAGGCATTCGTTTGGAGTCCTTCTGCTTCCTAAGGTTGCGTTGCTTCTTGGAATTGAGAGTGCTCAGACGATGGCTAGACAGTTTGGCATCCTAAAACCTTCACAAGTCTCCTCATAAGTATTTATTTAGCCAAATATCCTTACTCTAAATTCATTGCTTCCTGTTCGTTAAACTTCTCTTGTAAAAGTTGGTTAGCCAGTCAGGGCTCAGAAGCCTCGCCAATACCAGCCAAACACCAGAGACTGGGCACAGCACAGAGGCAGAACAATAACAAATAGGTTGAAAATTATTCACCCAAACAATGCACGAACAAGTTACAAATAATGCATTCTTTGTTTGGGAAAAAAAAAAAAAAATTGATTCGTCTCAGTGACTCATTAAGCAAACAAAGGGCTACATTTTCAATGACTGTTATCCTTGGTGAATAGCTCCGCCGGCTCAGTCTCGGAGCCAGCCGCCTGGTGCAGAGTGAGACGGGGGAGAGACGAGCAGGCAGGGGCTGGCTCTCTAGGCACAGCTTCCCGCTGACCTGAGATGACTTAGGGTTGCACAGCAGGCTCTGGCATCCAGATCGCCACAGCACATGTGCCTTTGTGAGAGGAGCTCCTGGCCATGGTGGGTAGCCTGAGGACAAGAGCCCTCCCCAGGTAATGGTGAGCCACAGCTGGGACATCTGGGACACTTTAGAGCACATTCTGGCTCTCTGGGCAGGGACGCTGCCCAGCTGCCACATGAGGTGCAGTACGCGGAGGACTTTCTCTACCCACGTGGGTTTTACTGGATTATGACTTGAATCTTCTGTAGAGGGAAAGCATTCTGTATTTAGGGACCTTCTCAACTGGCAACAAAACCTTACCCGGGACACAGATTCTCAGGAGAGGCAAAGCATCTTCTGCATGTTTCCCGCAGCAAAGATGAGCTTCTCTTTCATTCTGATTAACTCATTGCATAGCACAAAGATTTTCTTGATACAAGCACCCCTAGAACCAAGTAACTCGTTCAAACAGAACTAAGGCAAAGAGAGCAATCCAGCTTCTTGAGAACAACCTGGCGCCAGATGAAAGACGCATGGCAAGGCGAGGCGCTGCAGAGCACAGTGCTGCTATTCACAGCGGGGGAGTGCTCGCTTCCCTCAGCTGCACAAGGATAGTCATGCTGCAAAGAACCGGACCTTCAGCTTTTTTTATTTTTCCCAGCCTTCAGCGCTGCTGGCAGATGGGATCTTGTGAGCATGCCCTGCTCTGCATAAGGCCAAGTCCTCTGGGTTAGCTTGACAGCTGAAAGAATTAGTTTGAACTGGTAGTTTTGCCTGAACTGGTCTGAGAAGACCTCAGAGCCCATCCCTCCTGCAAGTCATCTGTGGGGTGATGGTCACCAGCTGGTTATCAGTGAGTAGCACCCGGAGACTATGGCATCTTCAGTGTGCTAAGCAGACCTAGCAGAGGACGTTGATCCAAACCTTTCACAGTTCACAGTGGGGAGAGAGAAAGAACATCGAGTTCATATGACTGTGTTAAATTGCAGAGCTAATCCTTTGGTGACTCATGTCTCTAGTATGCGCTTTTCTGTTAAGGAGTCATCTAATAGGCTTCATTTTCTTTTTTTATCAGATACAGATTCAGTGAAGGAATTTAGCAGTGTTTGTTCCCAGCTGTCAATAATGCGATTCAAACTACAAAAAACAAATGCAGCAAAATAAGATTTAAGCTAATTTCCCAGTAGAAGGGGAACTGATATTTTTGAAAGGCTGTTGTAGCTGCTCAATTTCCAAAACATTAAAGATACTGCACATACGAATGGATAGCAAATCCTGAATGCTTAACAAGAGAGCCAGATGTCAATATTTACCATTTTGTTTTGTTTTTCCAAGAACACCAACCTGGAAAAATATATCGAACTTTATCAAACTGGTAGCCCAAATGACAGCACTGCCAATGAACTTCAATAATAAGCTAAAAAAAGTAAGGCTTGTAAGGTGTGGTTCAATATTTATTTCTGAAATCATATTTTTCTCCATCCCTCTGAGACTCTGAGAACCTGGTGCTCCAAGTTGAAAGATTGAGGCTTTGCATAGATGGATTGCAGCTGAAAGTCAGAACCAACTACTGTAATAAGCCATACAAGCAATTTGCATGTTTCCTGATAAATGTAAAGCAGGGTGCTGAAGCCTAGCCAGCTACTTTTTATGAAACCTTTTATCGCATTGTTTGAAATAAAATGCAAACACCTCTACAAAGCGAACTTGAGCTCTGCTGCCATCAGTTTTGAAGAAACACTCTTTAAGGATTCCTTCTGTAATTTTTGACTGGAAAGGAAAAATGAGCTCTCCTGTGACAGAGCTCTCTCTGTTGCTGCAGGAGGCTACGAAAGACTAGATAACTACATTAAGCAAATAGCATAAAAATAGCCACACGCTGTTTCGCATGCGTCACCACCTGATGCAAAACACACATAGACAGAAAGGAGAGAACATTGAATTCTTGCCCGTCTTCTGTGTTTTGCAGATGCAGTTTAATGCTAACAATAGCGGAAGCCCTGTGGGTAGATTTGCAGCAGTGCTATAAGCTGGGACTTGCTGACAAGGTAGCAAAGGGAATTGCATTAGCAGTCTGCCCCAGCATAAATGTATGGATAGCGGTACATCAAGAGAAATCCATTATGTTTGCACATGCCCTCATACACTAAAAGGCTTGTGTTTTTTCCTGCAGGCTGTCGATCCTCCTTTATGTATCTCATTGTGCCTTGGGAGAGCTTCTTTCCCTGCAGAATTAGACGCCATGCCTTTGGATTGCTTACTGAAACGTTAGCAAGGATAGCAAATGAATTCTCTTATCTGATACATCATTATCATCATTTTCATAGTAATGCAGGGCTTTACACTATGCAATGCTTTTCATCCAAAGATCTGGAACATTTGCAAACAATGATTGATGTAATTAATAGACCTCTGAAATAATATGGTTCTCTTTTCTCATTGGTGGCTGAACTGGAAAATGTGTTTATTTAAGGTAGAGCAAGGAAAATCAGTTCTTAGGAAAACATTCTGCTGTCCAGATATTTTCAACAGAACAAGATGGGTTTTTTTGACACAAAGTTAAAAGTTTCCCTTTTTTCCAATATGAAAAATCAGCATGTTGAAAGTGAGTACTTCCACTCTCCTATTTTGTAAGGCCTTACTAATAAGTTTTGGTGTATCCAGAGCTAATAAAACACCCTTACGTTAAAAAAAAAATATTGGGCTTTAATAATTGCATCTCCCAAACCTTTGCATGGGAGGGAGGTTATGTTATTGTATGAATAAAATGAGCAGATGTGAACAGGTAAATTTATCTATTGGGAGAAGGCAGCCGAGAGGTACATCCAGGGGCAAAACCCAGAACTCATCCATCCAAAGCTAAGTCTTAGCATGCAGTATCATTTATGCGCTTGTAACACATTCTAGCAGGGCATTTTCCCTACCAAGTGCTAGTCTGAATTAACTGATTGTTTAGGAGCTGTAGCTTGAAGGCATCTCATCTTTGTCAGATGTAGCACCTCAGGTTTCTATCTCACAAAAGGAGATACTGCACCCAGGATATTTCTCTGTCAGTGAGTATCTAAGCAGTGCATATTACTGTTGATCCAGTAAATGTACTTGAAACAACATGCAAGAATGACAACATTTTATAGCTCCTCCTTTAAGTGAGCATGATGACTATCATATGATTCACTGTTGGCAAGAGTAAGTACGTTTTATCTATTTCTCCCAGCAGTGAAGTGTTGTGCTTTTTACTAATCAAGAAGCTTTACATTTTTAGTCCCTGTGAAGTTTAAGAGTGATGGGAAGAGCCCCTACTGCCATCAGAAGACCAGGCGGATAAAGCCACAGAACTCACAGTCCAGCACTCCCTGCCCAGTTCTTGGTGTGTTCTAGGGAGGTTATATGCAGAATAAAATGCCCTTGAAGTCAGGAAAAGGTAGCAACAGCAGAGATTATGTGGTTCATTGTAATAACTCTGCAGGCTGTAATCTCTGCGTCTGAAAGCCTCATTTTTCAACAGTGAAATGTGAGAAGAGCCAATTTCTACATTTTATCTTTCTCTTGAAATAGAGCTGAAATGGCAGGATGCACAGCTTTTGTGGTTGCTTGGGGGCGGTTGCTATTATCAGTATGTGCTGAGTCAATATTTGTAATTATTGAAAAAACAAGGAAATTTATTTAAAAGATATTAAATCCACTTCTGGTAATCGCAAGCTAAATTTTGATCTTAAGAATATTCACAAAAGAAAGAGGTCAGCAATTCCAAGCAGGTATTAAAACTAAAATATGTATACCATCAGTATACCATCACCTTGAAAACTTCTTAGGCATCACCCAGTCTCAGCACTGAAAAAAATACTATGAGACTTCAGATGCCCAATCAGAGTAGGGAAATACTAAGAACCAATATTAAAATAGCATTTGAGAACTCCTGAAAATAAGACGTATTCACACATGCCTTTTCTTAAATTGTTCTGAATGGTTTAAAGTGCTTTAAGAAAAAAAATCTTGCTAAATGATTCACAACAATAGAAAAATTGGTAAATTAAATTCTCCACAGTGAACAATCTGCCTAGATTTATTTTAGTCTTGTTTTAAGATAAATCAAGATGTCAATACAGTAAATATAAATAAAAGCTTCTTATGTATCAAATAATTTCGCTTACATGGATGAGTTATAAAATTCCTTCCTGTGTGAAATGTGGTGTAGCATGGACTAATATTCATTTTACAATATTTCTTTTATGATTGCGTGATTTTTTAAAACAACAAAATTGTAGCAACTGTCATTTTTGCACTAGGGTATAGGAAGTAAATCCAGGTTATTAACCACAAGGCTGAAAAACACATCATTTATGCCATTAGAGAAACCACAGCTTGTCAACAAATAAAAGAAAAGCAAGAATGCAAAAATAATTCTATGTACTTTAATATTTTAAATGAAACAGTTAGTAACTTACCAGTTTAGCATCATGGTTGATCCAACACAGTCACTTGCTAGCGGATTGGGATCTTACTGTGCTGCAGTCGTTCCTCAGCTTTCTAAATACTAGAACACTGACCATAAGGATCTACCCTGTGTCCACCAGTGTTGACGCCATTATGGTCACAGGTATCCAAAAAGTGTCATTAATAGGATAGGCCTGATCAGGTCCAACTCATACCCCATGTATGTGAAATGCCAGTGAGATGAAGGAATAGCAGAAGTAGCCAAAAAAGCTCTGCTTGGGAGCTGTTTTTCTTTTTAATGTTTAGGATTACAAATGAAACAGAAGGACCCAAATTCAGAGTCTGAGGCCATCTTTGGGTAGATCTCTGATTTACAGCATCTCTCTTACTTGGGAGTAAGTCTCAGCCTTACCTCTCGCTAATTCTTCGAAGACTAAAAGCTGTTTCGTGTTACCTCATTGCTGTATCTTATTATATATTTGCTGTATTTAATTATACATTGCAAGAACAGGAGAAAACATACTGCCTTCATATTGAGTCTGTCAACATGCTCCCTTAAATTCAGCCAACACTATTTTTTTAATTTATTGCAATTCCTTTTACCTATATATTTTTCTAAACCTGCTGTAAATGTAACTCCCTCAATTTCAGGATCATCAATCTGAACAATGGCAGTAAATGTAATCAGGCAATGGAGAAAGAGAGTAGAGTTTTGGTTTTAAATTTTACTTTTTCAGAAATGCCAAATGATTTTCGTTTGCATATTTATTTACTTTATGCTTTAGAGTGACTGGTACATTTTGGCTGTAGCCTACCAAAACAAAATACTTCTTATTGAAACATGTAAAAAAAGACAAGAAAATTAGTATTGGGTTTCCAAGGTCCTCAGTTTGAAGAACAAAGACATTCTGAAGTCTACAAATCAATTATCAACTTCAGCATTCCTTTATTTCTTACTTTACATATTTCTTTAATTAACTATTATCTAATCGTTTGGAAAATATTATCATGAGATTGCAAGTCTGTTTCTTGCGCATTTCTAAATTCTCCACTGTTGGAAAACAAAACCACAAAAACACACCAGTCTCTTACTATGACATTTCCAGATCACACCCAGCTGTTCACAGCTGCAACTGTAACATTCAACGTGCTTAAGATTAAGACCATACGTAAGAGTGCAGACACTCAGATCAGGTTTTCGGTGCCTGCGAGGGTTGTATGGTCAGTGGGTGAAGTGGTTATTCTGTTCCTCTTTTCTTTATTATTCAGTATCACAAGGACACATGTCTAAGTATTTCTGATATTTATGTAGGATGGCTTCACAGGTAGTGACAGATAACAAGTGGTAGTCCTAATAAAACAAACTTTCTGAATATTTTCTATAAAATATACTAAAATATTCATAAAAACAAATGAAGGGAAATTCACAAAGGCTAGACAGAACAAAGTTCTGTTAACAAAGCGAATAATTCATGGTAGAAGATGCAAGACTTTTTCTCACTGTTTGAACATACATGCATTCTCATGCTGCCTAGCCTTTATTTGTGATAATGCATTAACTGTATTTGTTAAGAAGCCAGAACCATCATTAAATGACGAGACTGTGAGGGAGTGTAAATTACATATACGATACTATGGAACTCATGATGAAATACTACGTTATTTATCCACTTACTTAAGGTATTCTTCTTGAATAGCATGGGGTTAGCTTTTGTTTACCAGTCTATTATAGTTAATTAGTTAAAAATGTTAATTACATGGAGATAGTACATACCTCCTTATTCTTAAAGCAATATTGTTTTTCTAAACATATCTGGGTTGAGAGATCCTCTATAGATCTGATTACTTTAACATGAGTTGCATCTCAGTAAATATTTTGCTTTTTTCAGACAAACTTTGGCATATACCTGATGAACCAGCCCTTGTGCTCATCCTTTCCAGATATTTTATCAGTTGGGTCTCAAGTACTTCCAGTGCTGGAGGAGAATACAGAAATTCAGCCCCCGACATCCAGTGAAGAAAAATGTTCAGGATAGATTCTCTGGTGGAGATGAGATTTATATGCAACTCCAGGGGAAAGTCAGTAGTCAGTTATTCAAAAAAAAGAAAAAGTTTCCATTCATTTGCTTTTGGTTTAAGTCTTTTAATTTTCTGTTTGCTGTAAATGTTATCAGATGGCAGAACCCTTGATAATTACAGCTCACTTACATGTTTTTGCTTGTGATTAGGTTACAGCAGCCATAACTCTATTTTGCTCAATTGCTTCAGGATGCAACAGGTTTGATCAAGTTTTACTGGTGGATGACTCTCAAAACAAGCCCAACATCGTTGTCAGAAACCCACATCTCAATGAAGGAAAGTAAACACAACAATACACTACTTCCTTATGTTGCTTTGTTAAAACCACAATTGGGAGAGAGGATGCAGGATGTATTTTAGAAACAACGTGGGTGGGAAGGGAACAGTGGGAGAGTGGCATGAGAGTAGCAGTCCATTCAGCTTTTCAAAAATAAAACTGAAGGTCATGTGTAGACAGTCGGAAAGCACCAGAGAAGAGGGAACTGTTATTGGGAAATCTGTGTCTCCCTCTTCAGAAGTGGTGTGTGAGGATGCCAAAAAGGCACAAAGATCAATGAAGATTCAGTATGCCGTTTGCAAACACATTCCCTGTGAAGCAATTTCATCCATTTGTTCTCGACTTCTTTCTCTCGTTCTTTTCCATCTGATTTATTTCATGTGATCACTTCCCACATACTTGTTTCCTTACGTATTTGTGGATGTTGACACATTTTTTCTAATTAGAGGTTTTTCAACTAATACAGTCATGTTTTCTATACAAACTTTGTTTATCCTCAGTGGTGTCTAATGGCTGCTTAAGGGAACTCTTGAAAGTTTGGTTGCTTCTCCATCCCGAACAGGTCAAAGTATTCTTTTTTCTTACTACTTGTGCATTTGATAGTGTCCTTCTTAGAAGGCTTTTGAGTTCTTTACTCTCCTAAGTATGACTCATGCTTTCTGATTTCTGAGAGCAAATGTCTGAAACCTAGGACTTAGTCTGAAATATCAATTATTGTGAAAATGAAAAAAAATAAGTAAAGCAAGCCACACAGAAAAAAACCACATGGAAAGTCAATGTAATGCAAGACTGAACACATTGAGGCCAGGTGTTTTATGACCTCCAACGTATATCTAGCCAGCCACAGGGAGATTTCCTGCTTCCAGGAAGTCCTTCTGGAAGTTCTTCCTAGATTGGCTGCTCTATTGCCATTTGGGAAGTGAAATTTTGACCCGTTAAAAGCACCGTCAGAACTCTCATCCAGCATGATTTAGGTCTTCCTTGGGGCAATTTTGGCTCAAACTGTGTGAAAGTGCTTCTGGCTGAAGCAATCCTTGAGTTGTTTGAGTATATCCCTGGAGGGGAGCAGGCGGCTTTGTGAAAGAATTGGTCAAACAGTCATTCTGAAAGGGGAGCGACTATCGCGGAGCGGCGTACAATGGGAAGAGGGAAGCACATCGCCCAGTGTGCGAATCAGAATCCAAAGATGGTCTTTTTTCTTTCTCTTCTTTTTTTTTTGAACTGGTTTCTTATTTCTTTTTTTTTTTTTTTTTGTTCTTTTGAAGAACTGGTTTTACTCACTTCAGCTGGAACAGACTCTTATTAGTCTCTCAGCAGAGCTTTGTAATGGAAATGAGAAGAGACGTTATCTGTTTCTTACAACCTGCCATAAAATACGTGGAAAGAGAGAGGTATTTCATATGTATGTAAACTGAGGATCAGTTTTGAGAGTTGTACCTTCCACTTCAGAGCCCAAGCACTGCTCCTTGATGTCTTCTTTGAAAAGCAGGGGCTTTATCTGTCTAATAGTCAATTATCTGATGTTGTAATGAGCAGGCTTTTTGGAACCTTGAAAAGCAGTTTCCTGGTATCTAAATCCCTTAACTGTTTCACTCTTTGCCTTTCAGTTATGCAGAACGTTTTGTTGGATAGAAAGCCAGCGCAGCTCTGGCAAATTTCATGTGAAGAGGCCTGCTGTATGTTGACCTTCAGGTGATCTCTGGTGCTTTGCTCTGTCCTCTTCACCTCACCAGTATGTCATTTGTTTAAAATGGCACAGAAGTTAGAAAAGGAAATTGAAAGCAAACCTCAGCAAACTCTGTTTCACTTGTTATTGAATTTACTACAAAATAAGTCACTTTGGTACACAGTGGCTTGACAAATACTGTTTGTGTATAGCCGTAATGCAACATATGATAATGAAGGATGAGAGGATTTGAACTTTAAAAATGTCATGCGTGGTCATTTTGACCTATTATTTACAGGCAATTACACTTTCTCTCTGCTGTGGCTTAGTAATATTAGATCAAGAATAATTTTGTCATTTTACAGGGGGAAAAAAAGATTTTTTCTGATGTATGAACATACTCATTAGTATATTCTGTGCATTTCCCAGAAGGAACATCCTTGTGCTACAGTGATAGGAAATGTCACAACGCTTCAGATTGATGGAAGAGACATAAGGAATCTTTCATCTCAACAAAGGATAATATTTCCCTTCTAGTAAGTGGAGTGTTCCCACCACTATTGATATGTCTTCCCATCAATGAAGAAAAATCCTTCTCAGTGCCAATACTCTGTGGAAAATCTTGAAGTAGGAAGAGTGACTTTTAAATGACATGTGCTGTAAGATTGTAGAAAGAATACCCTCCCATAATGTGAAAAAAATTCAAAGAAAGAAGAAACTTAGCGTAATACAGACCCAAGTCCTGCAGGTACAAAAAGGGCATAAACACTTTGAAACACTGCATATATTACGTAGAAAGATTATATGTTCTATAGGGGGTGACTTCTCAATCTTCAAAGTTTATAGAAAAAAGACGATTTCGTATGAATGCAGGTTCTTTCATCTAGGTACTCCCATTGCTGCAAAATTAAATCTTTGAACTAATTGCAGGTATATGTTTACCTTATATGGATAAGAAATGTACTTAATACAGTATTTCCAGAGCACTGTATGTAGAAAGTCCTCTATATATTTGAAAACTAAGTCCATATTTCCTTACAATGAATTATTCAGACACATTCCATTTTCTGTGGAACTTTACTCCTTCTGAAATCTCACGGCAAAAATGGGGATTATTACAAGCTCTAATAACAGCCAGGAGGCTGAAATCACAGAACAGAAATCAGCATGTTTAGGAGAAGCCTCTGAACTCTGTGTTCTCTGATATGACTAAGATATTTCAGATATAGTTTATGATTTATATACTTTCAATGGCATTGTTTAACCTGGCAGGCAGCCAAATACCACGCAGCCGCTCACTCATTCCCCCCGCCCCCCCAGTGGGACGGGGAGAGAATCGGAAGGGGAAGAGTGAGAAAAACTCGTGAGTTGAGATAAAGACAGTTTAACAGGGAAAGCAAAAGCCGCGCACGCAAGCAAAGCAAAACAAGGAATTCATTCACTGCTTCCCATCGGCAGGCAGGTGTTCAGCCATCCCCAGGAAAGCAGGGCTCCATCACGCGTAACGGTTACTTGGGAAGACAAACGCCATCACTCCGAACGGCCCCCCTCCTTCTTCTTCGCCCAGCCTTATATGCTGAGCATGATGTCATATGGTATGGAATAGCCCATTGGCCAGCTGGGCCAGCTGTCCCGGCCACACTCCCTCCCATCCCCCCCGCGCCCCTGGCAGGGCATGGGAAGATGAAAAGTCCTTTACTAGCGTAAACAATTCTTAGCAACAACTAAAACGTCAGTGTGTTATCAACATTATTCTCATACTACATCCAAAACACAGCACTATACCAGTTAATAGGAAGAAAATCAACTCCATCCCAGACAAAACCAAGACAATGGTCAAAATCTTAGGTCATCCTTCTGTCAAAATTATACAGAAATCAAAAGGAAGGACTGCATAAAACATGTGATTGTTGTTCATAAATTGTAGAGATTATGCTATGCATTTCTTCTTCTGGTTTTTAACTTTCTGGGAAATGAAACCAATAAAATATATATTGTGCTTGACGTGGCTACTGGTGGTGGTTGCATTCTTGACCTTTGAGCTCATGAGATGCTAAGTTCTGCTTGGAGGCATTGCTGGGCTCACGAGGCGAGTATGTGGCTTAGGAATGAAGGGATGTCTCATCGCTGCTGGGATTCACAGGTGAGGTGTTCCTCCAGCTATTGCGCTGACGGCCTCCATCTGTCTAGTCAGCATGCCAATCAGTTGCACACTCAGCTCAGGCCCTGCACAAAATGGACTAATAATCGCCAGTTTCCTTTAAAGTATGTCCAGAGGCAGTCCTGTTAGAGCCACCTCTGTTACCCAGAGGTTGGAAATCTCACCAAGGGTGTTGGAGAAGAGAAGGTTCATTTCCCTCTCCTTTGCCTGGGAGGGATACGTCTTTCTCCGCTGCCTAACCCGTCAGTCCGTAGGCGAGACTGGGGACTTAACAGAAGTGGGCATGTGTGGGAGTCACGGGGAAGGCTTGTCCCTCCCTTCTCATGAGGTTTACACAGAAATGATCTGTGATTCACTGGGCCAGAGAGAGAGGGACATGGACACAGTGAGGCAGGATCCACACGTGACTCCGAGCTACTCGTTCATGCTCTTTTGGATTCACTGAGGGTGGGAGGGGAAGAAGAGCATGACTCTGTAACCCAGCAGGTAGGTCACTCCCATGGAGGTGAAAGATGTGGGTACGTTCCTGTCTCTCTGATTATACAGCTGTCCTGAGGCAGCTATTTGGACAAAACCCCTGGAGAAGGGAGGAGAAGGCATAGAGAGAAGGCTCCTCCTCTCTGCTGGATACCTAAGAGAGTGGGTTACAGAGGCTGGTCTCCTTCCTCCGGCCAGCAGTGCTTAAGTACAGGGTGGAACTTCAGCAAGAATAGAGGAGAACGCCCCAAGTGTGTTTTGGAATAAGCCATTAGGGGAAACACAAGTTTGAGTCCTCAAAAGCAGAAATGGAAATGAGCCCATGTTTCTGACTTCTTGTTAGGTGCGCAGCCGCAAGGCCAGAGTGAAAAGGAAA